TGAGTGAGTGCTGCGCACTTGCAGGGTCAATGCTGAGGGAGTGCCGCACTGTCATGGGGGTCAGTAATGAGGGAGTGCCTTTGTACCTAAGATGGTACTGTAATGCGGCAACTGTAAACATTTTCAGTGTACTCAAATGAGTACATGTGACAGTAAAGCTAATTCAGTTCAATTCAGGACAGTTGATATCTGTTTCCATTATCAATTGCAACTTAATGAAGTGAAGTAGGCAAAGAGCACAGCCTAGTGGCTTCTGGTGGGCTAATAATTTTGTTTCTGCCTAGTAAATGCATTGCAGGGACTTGGTGTTGTCCTTCCGGAGATAGTAAAACTGTGCATATTTACTGAATAAAGTTTTATAGGGGTGAACCACTGTGACAGTAACTTTCCCCATTTATTATTTTGGCTATCCTGTGCATTGTTTGTGTATCTCCCATTTCTTAATTGACTCAGCCTGTGTTGTTTGTGTATGCTTTGGCATTCAAGCTGCTGGCCCTGATTGGCACTCTAAAATTAATCCAAATATTTTTGTTAAATAAGCATCATTACCTAGTGCCGATCTCTGGCTTTTTCCTCATATACCTATGCATCAGTTGTATCCAATTAACCATCCAATGCCCTCATTGATCCTGCCTCCATCACATTTCCAGGCAGTGAATTCTAGACTCTTAACTACTTACTGTACGAAAATGTTCCTTTTCTCTCATCACCTTTGCTTCGTTTGTATATCATTTTAAATCTCATTCTTGTTTCTTTTCAAGCAGGAGCACTTTCCCCACCTACTCTGCCCAGCCTGTTCATAATTTTGAAAACTTATATCAGACCTCTTCTCAGCCTTTTTCTTCTCTCCAAGGAGAATGGTCCCAATTTCTTCAATCTGTCCTCACATCTGAAGTTTCTCATTCCTGGAACCTCTCCAATGCATTCACATCTTTCCTGTAATAGGGCAACATACAACCGTTCACAATACTCCAACTGAGGTCTAACAGATGCCTTATACAATTTTATCATCACCTCCCTGCTCTTGTACTTTATGCCCACACATCTTTTTCAGGTTGGTGACTCTCAGGTTAAACCACCACCAGGTCTCTCTCTCTCTCTCTCTCTCTCTCTCTAATGACAGAGCAGCATATGGTTTGGTAAGACTATGGCAACTTTACCTTTCAACTTTACTACTGATGGTGATGATGCTTAATTCCTCCCTTTGTATTCTTTAGTATTTATAAAAAGTTTGAAGTATCTTCCACCATAGAGACCTGCTGCAAAATATCTGTTTAACTCCTCTGCCATTTCTTTGTTCCCCAAATTTGCCTCCCCGGATTAATCTTCAAAGAGGCCCATGGTCACTTTGACCTCTCTCTTCCTTTTTATATATTGAAAGAAGCTATTTCATTAGTTTTTGTGTTCCTGGCTAGTTTGCCCTCGTAGTTTATTTTCTGTGTCTTTTTAGTCCCCCTTTACTGGATTCTGAATTTATCCCAGTCTTCAGGACTTCTGGTTCCTTTTTCTTTTAAATTAATACCCTCCATAACTGGTTAGCCATGATTTATTCATCTGTTAGAATCTTTCCTCCTTACTGGGCTGTATTTTTGCTGAGAGTCAGAAATTATCTCTTTATATGCTGCTATTGCTTGCTTATCATCTTTCTGCTAATCTATCCACCCAGTCCACTTCAGTTAACTCTATCCTCATTTCATTGTAATTTCCTTCATTTAAGTGAAACACATTTGTTTCTGACCTAAGTTTCTCACACTCAAACTAAATATGAAATTCTATCATGTTATGATCTCTACTTCCTAAGGGATCTTTTACCCATTACCAGGCCCAGGATAGCCTGCTCCCTGTTTCATTCCATGACACACTGCTCTAGTTAACTTTTTCGTGAATTTGTTGTTGCAGCTACCCTTTCCAATATGATTAACCAAATTAACATGAACATTGAAGTCATCCATAATTATAGTTCTATTCTTTTTACAGGCCCCTACTTTTTGTTGATTTATAACCTTTCCCACAGAGGGGCCTGTATCCTATTCCTACCAATGTCTTTGTTCCCTTACCGTTTTCTTTACTCCCACTAAAATGGACTCTACATCATCCAAGCCGATATCATCTCACCACTGTCCTCATTTCATCTCTCATTAACAGTGCTACCCCACTACATTTTCCATCTCCCCTGTCTTTCCGACAGATCAAATATTCCTGGATGTTAATTTCTCCCTTTTGATCTCCTTGTAATCATGTTTCCGTAATAGATACGAGATCATACTCATTTACCTTGATTTGTGCCATCAGTTTATCTACCTCATTGCAAACGTTTCATACATTAAGGCTACAAAGCCTTTAGTCTTGCCATTTTGCCATTTTTAATCACCTTAACTTTTCTTTGTACTGTGGCCCTAATTGTCTGTCATCTTTAATTACCCTGTCTACCATTTTGTGCATTTTACTGTTCTTTCTTTCATTACTGTCCTTGTTTCTCTTTCCCTTGTCACCCTGCTTAGGTTCCCATCCCCCTGCCATTTCAATTTAAAACCTGTCCCAACCACACTAGCAAATACTTGTCCTGAGATGTTAGTTCTGGTCCTGCTCAGGTGTAACCTGCCCAGTTTGTACTGATCCCACCTCCTCCAGAAACAGTCCCAGTATCCCAGGAATCTGAAACCTTCCCCATCGCAGCATCTCTTCAGCCATGTATCCAACTGATATATTTGGTATTTCTGCTCTTACTAGTATGTGACAATTGTAAAAGTCCTGAGATCACTACCTTTGAGGCCCTACTTTTCAGCTTGCTTCCTAACTCCCTATATTTGACTTTTAGGACCTCATCCTTTTTTTTAATCTATGTCATTGGTACCAACGTGTACCATGACCACTGGCTGTTCGCTCTCCCACTCCTGAATGTCCTGTATTTGCTCTGAGACATCCTTAAACTGAGGACAAGGAAAGTAACATACCATCCTGGAGCAAAATCAGAAATTGCTGGAAAATCTCAGTAGCTGTGGCAGTGTTTATTCCCCTTACAATTGAATCCCCTTTTGCATTCCCACACTTTCTCCTCTGGTCCCCTGCAGCAGAGCCAACTGTGATGTAATGAATTTAGTTGTTGCTATTTTCCACAAGAGGCCATTCCCCAAGAGTATCCAAAGCGATCTACCAGGTTTTGCAGGGGAATAGCTACACAGGGTTCCTGCACTGCCTGTCTAGTTTTCTTTCTCTGCCTAGTGGTCACTCATTTACTTTTCCATTCATACAGACGTAGCCTGCAGTGTGACCATCCCTCTGATTGTGCTATCCATGATTCTGTCAGCTTTGCAGATGCTCCACAGTGTCCCCAGCTCATGTTCCAGTTCCAAAACCTGGACTTCCCGGAGGTACAGCTGGAACCACATCCTGCATACCTGCCGGAAGTATACCCAGCTTCCCACATAGAGCAGCAGGAGCACACCACAACTTTGAGCTCTCCTGCTATGACTTACCCCTTAGATTAAACCCTTTCAAATCAAATAATATCAATTAATTTAGGGCTGTTCTTACCTTGACCCAATTAAAACAGAATAAAACCCTTACAAAATATGAACTAGAAATAAAGACTACAACTCTAATAGTAGTATAAATATTCACCGCCTATATTCACCCAATCAGCAGCATCCGCTTGTCCAGCATTTCTTTTGAATCCTACCATCTCCTCTGGGGTTCTACCTTTGGATTGAGTGAAGGTAACACTGGGCTGCTCCTTTTCAAATTTTCCCATTGCTGTGCTCAGCTGGTCCTCATCAGATTCACCCTCTCTCTGACACCAGTACTCTGTATTGTAAGAGTTACTTAAAGTCCCTCTTTCCCCTTACACTCCAATTTCCCTAAGAACTTACTGTTATTTTAAAGAAGCAGAAGTACTCACCAATCAGAGAAAATAAGAGACTGATCAACTCCTCCATCTTTCACCTAATTTCTTGTCTCACAAAACTCCAGTTGCACTCTCAGGAATCACTGCACCAGTCATCTCTGCATAGCAAGATGTCAGATCCGAATTGAATTTGACAGCGCAAAGGATGTGACAGGACGATGGCTACTTGCATGGAGACAGTGGGCAGATGGTTGTAAGGATAAGTGAGGCGATGTGGTGTAAGGTCTGGAATCCTCGGCAGCTCAGAGGGCAGGACTGGGGGCATGAGGGAGTGAGATGGAAAGATCCTACTGTCTTGGATGTGGTTGGGATAACCAGTCAGGGTAGGAAAATGTGCTGTCTAAAGGCCAGTGTCTGTACTGTCCAAATGTGGATCCATCTCTGGATATGAGCTGACAGATGCTTCACTGGGCTTTGAACTCACCCACAACATTTCAGTTATCCTGATGCATGTGACCTCAAACAGCATCCTTTACATAAACAGAAGTAAGGGTCAGGTGAGCCTGTCCCACAGACCAGTGAATACAATAATGAGAGAACAAAAAAAAACGCAACATTATTTCTTCTCCAATGAAGAAAATGTCCCCAACCCACACTGTAACAACAATGTGTGCTAACTGTGAAGTGTGCCAATACATTTAGCTCTCTGATGAGTCTCAACAAAACCAATGATGCAAAGCTGAATAAAGTGAAACCAAAGTTACAAATGAAATTTAATGCTGAAAACCTCTTTTGCGCTCTGAAGTGTACAGTACCGGCAATGGAGTTGGGCAATAAAGCTGTGGCTCGTTTGGAGAGCCTCTCTTTTTGACCAGGAAACACTCTAATAGGCTGTCCATTTCTGATTCATTGCCAACTAATGATGGGTTTTAAAAAATGGAAACTTTTCACAACCACTAAACCACATGTATTTATACACATCACTGGCCTGTGGAATTGTAATTATCACATGTGAGAAAGCAAAAAGGAGAAAACATAAGTGGCAGTTACAATACTGGAAACCTAAATCCTAACCTTATTGACGAAATGCTAGCCAATGTGTATTGCTGAGATTTGTGGGGAGACAGTCTGACTCTAACATTGTGTTGAATTGCAGGAGGAACGGGACCCCTACCAGAAGGGCAGCGTCAAATCCATTGCTAATCAGTTCCTGGCCAAGTCCAACAGTAATGCCCCAGGGCCATCACATGGACTGAAACGACAAGTAAGGTCTTGGGGCTGGGGTTGAGGGTGGGAAAACGGGGGGAATGTAGTGATGAAATGGGAACTGTGCTTGGGGGTTACACTGGTGCAGACTGACTGTGTGTGTGTGTGTGTGTGTGTGTGTGTGTGTGTAGGTGGGGGTGGGTTAGATCGGGTCAGGTCACTGGGTGACATTGAAGCCTGCCAGCCTGTGCGCTCCCAGCCTCCCAGTTTGTGTTCGATTGACTTTATTTTTCCTTCCATAATCCTTTGGGGTAACCTCAATGATTGGATCACAATTAGACTGAACAATCAGAAGCTCAGTGGCCGAGTGGATTCAATATCTCCAATCTTTGTACTGATGTTTAGGTTTACTCTGAGATTCTGAGTCATGAAGATTTGACAGATTAGCAGTGGAGATCTTTATGGCTTTATTGCTCTTTCAGTTGCAGAAGGCTTTTGATAAAATGCAAAATGCCACATGAACAATGCTTTTCAGTGCAAGGACAGTAGGTGAAAAATCTCGATCAAGAAATTGGAGTGCAGAGATTGTCTGTCCTATAATCTTTAATTGTAGCAGGACAACTTGTGAGGCCTTACAAAGGATTCCTTTGCATTATACATTTAGTCATGAAATACAAATGTAAAGAAGCTATGCTAAACCTTTACGAAGTATTGGCTAGGCCTGAACAAAACTTGCAAGGAACAAAGACAATGGTATGTAGGATAAGGGAGATCAGTCATGTAATAACTTCAGTTCAGTAATGATGCTCATTTGAAGAACCAGTGCACAGAGGGCTGAACTGCCTCCTTCTGCACCTTAACACTCTGTGATTTGGTGTGAACAGACTGAGGATGTAGGATTGTTTTACTCAGAACAAAAAACGGTTAAGGGAAGATTTAATTGAAGGATGAAAAATTCAGAAGAGTTTTAATCAAGTAATTAAGCAGAAAATGGCAGAAGGATTGGGTCATGAGTATCAGAGGGATGGCCAACAGAACCCAGAGTCAGATGATGAAAATATTTTCAGGCAGTAGTGTAAGATCTGGAATGCACTGCTTAAAAATAGAGGTGCAAACTGACTGAATAGCAACTTTCAAAAGGGAATTGAATAAGTACAGAAAATATTTGCAGGGCTTGTGGGGAGGAATTAATTTGGTGTCTCAATCCCCTCCACTGCACTACAGAATGTGCTCTTCACCAGACCCCAATACACTGGGTAACTCCCTCCCCTGTATTGCGTTGGGTTATGCACGCATCTCCACTGTACTGGGTAACATGCTCCACCCCATTACATTGGATAACCCCGTCCCCCTCCCTCACTGTAATACTTAAAACACTCCCCTCCACTGCAGTAGGTAACTCCTTCTCCTTCACTGCACTGGGTATTTCCCTCCCCTCCGCTGCACTGGGTAACTACCCCCACCCTCCTCCATCACACTGGTAACTTCTGCCAACCCCCTCCCCCTGTCCACTGCACTGGATAGCTCCCTCTCTGCACTGCACTAGGGAACACCCTTCCCCTTCACTGCACTGGGTACTCCCTTCCCCTTCACTGCACTGGGTATCTCACTCCCCTCCACTGCACTAAGTAACACACTCGCCCTCATTCCACTGGGTAACTTCATTCCCTTCCGCTGCACTGGTGTTTCTGTCTTCTGTATTGCAATAAATAAATCACCTTAAATACCACCGTCCACTGCACTGGGTAACTCCCTTCATCATAGAATCCCAATAATGTGGAAGCAGGCCATTCAGCCCATCGAGGTCACACCAACCATCCAAAGAACCGTCCCACCCAGCTACCCAGTCCCCATAATTTTGCATCTCTCAAGGCCAATCCACGTAGCCTGCACATCCCTGGACACAATGAGCAATTTAACTTGGCCAGTCCACCTAACCTGCAATATCTTTGGACTGTAGGAGGAAACCAGAGCACCTGGAGGAAACCCATGCAGACATGGGCAAGATGTACAAACTCCACACAAACGGTTGCCTGAGAGTAGAATCAAACCTGGGTCCCTGGCGCTGTAAAGCAGCACTGCTAACCAGTGAGCCACCATGCTGCACTGTACTGGATAATTCCTTTCCCCGCACTCTAGTAGGTAACTCCCTTCCCCTCCACTGCACTGGGTAACATACTCCCCTCCAATGCACTGTGTAACTCGCTCCTCTCCACAGCACTTGGAAACCCCATTCCTCCACAGCACTGTGTAACTGCCCCCTGCGTCATGTGAAATGATCTAATATTGATGGAGTCAAGGTGCTGGAACTGCTGGCAGTGATTATGTGGACTGTTTCTTGATTCCTTGATTGTGTTTTTTGATTGGATGTCAGTGATATGTATTGACCCAAACCCCAGAGCAACCTGCATTCAAACCAGTGTGTGACATATGTAGGTCTAGAGCTGGATGAATACAGCAGGCCAAGCAGCATC